GAGACCCCAACTGGGCATCTCCCAGGCAACGGTGATGTCACCAGCTAATCCTTTCAACCCTGAAGTGCCTTGCTGCTTCTGACAGGAATGCTATATGATCGGTCCCCAATCTCATAGTGGGCCGCGGCCTGTTGGAAACCCGGCCGTGGGAGAAATGGGCAAGTGTGTGTATGTGAAGCTCCACTCGAGCAAATGGAATGTGCTCACGCTCACGCACAAAGCTCCATTCATGCAAATGGAGCTTTGTGCGCGAGCACAAGCGCCCTCTGCTCAAACACCCTGTGCTTGCGTGAGTGGAGTTTCGAGTGCACGCCCAAGGGCCTGCCACTTGTAGTAGAGCTTCACACGTGAGCTCAAGCACCCTCCGCTCACCTGCGAGGCTCCATTTGTGCAAGTGGAGGGCGCACAAGTGTGCTGCTCGCACAAATGGAGCTGTGCATGTACGCCTGTCACTTCCACACACCACCCAGTGCTGCGCCAGTCTGCCAAGCTGGAAAAGTTAAGGACCGCTGTGCTATGTTATGCTATTTTTCTATCCCATGCCAGCCTTCCTGGCTGCCCACACTTCCTGATTGAAAGAAATCCCAGATAAGAGTTCCTTCACTGATTCTTTCTCCAGGGTTTCACTGGAAAACGGGAAGTTTGCACTGGGGAGACAGGTTTGACGAGTGAAAGACAGATACCCTTAATTGCTAACACAATCCAAATCCTGCCCCAAATTTAAGAGAATTTTGCCTCTGCTTTGTCGAGTAAGCAAACCTTTTCCATCAAGTTGATTGAGAAATGTTAACAAAACAATGGAGTAATATAAACATTGAAATGGAAGATCTCAGAAGAGAAACTATAAAGGTAATAAAAAGTCCAGAGGTCATCTGAGGAAAGACCAACGGATTCAGCATCTTAAGCCAAAGATTAGAAACAAAATATCCATGAACAAAAAGATTATATTGATTTCATTCTCTGCACATGTTCCTGTTCAGCTCTCCTCTCTGGCAGAAACAATCATTTGTTAACTTCTTGTTTGCCTGTACAAACATCTCTCTTTTCAGATTCTGATTACTTTTCCTTTTGAGCTGACATAATTCATTTTACTATGTTTGCCCCAGCCCTGATTTACAATGTTCCTCTCTTTTTGATGATGCTAGTGGCAGTGTTTATTTACTTGGGAGATTCCTTCTCATCACTCATGAAAAGTTTATTTCCTAAGTGGAACAATGCCAAAGGAACTTAGGCCTTTATCTGATCACTTGGTGTTTACAACAAGGTTACTCTGGCTTCTTGTAAAATTAAAAAAGTAAAATAACCAAGGCACATAATAGAAAATCTTGACAACTATACACAAAAAGCCAAAATGTCCCAGATTGTCATAACACCCTGAATAGTTCCTCTGTTATAGCTGCAGGAAGCTACTTTGTATGTGGAACCACAAACACAGATGGGTTGTAAATGTCATTTATTCTCAAGGCTTGTATAATTTCAGCAACTTGGTTTTTTTACCAAACAAATCTTAGAAGTTTTGGAACAAGCTAGAATTGTTGTTGCTGCTGTTATTATTTTTACCATTATTAAGTTCTTTCAGAAGCTCAGTAGACTTTCAGTTTTCTTGAAGTTATTTTTCCCGTTATAAGATAGAGCGAAGAGAATTTCCATGGTTTACCAACTCTGTCCTCAGTCAGTAAATCTTGGAATCTTTAATGGTCTTGACTAGACTTCTGATGTAGATATGCAATGGGATGGATGGATGGATGGATGGAGAGATTAGATAGATAGATAGATAGATAGATAGATAGATAGATAGATAGATAGATAGATA